TTTTTTTAAGAGCAAAACCATCTTGGGGGACCACTTGACTAATGTGGAGATCAACCGGGACAATGTGTCTGAGATTCTGCAGATCTACATGGAGGGTCACTCTGAACAGAAAGAGGTGGCCATGCTGGCTTTTAGCCTCAGGACTAAGCCTTTCCAAGCCCACAGTCCATCACAGAAGGCCTCTGTTTTAGCATTCCTGGTAAATGAGCTTTGCTGCAGTAAGGCTGTGATCAGGTGAGTGCCCTGCCTCCAACTGAAATTCAGGATGACAGTGTTTTCATTTCACCCCACCTAAAAAAAAAATAATAATAATCATAAATAGTAAACTTAATAACCACTGAAGTAAATGCTTCCTTTAAGGGTTTGCATCTTATAGAATAGAATAGAATAGAATAGAATTCAACTTTATTGTCATTGCACATGTCACAGGTACAAGGCAACAAAATGCAGTTTGCATCCATCCAGAAAGTGCTTTAGCCATGATATAGATATATTACAAATATATATTAGCAATAATATAGATATGTGAGTATATTACAGAAATGGGTCTATTATGGTATGTTATAATGTACACGGTATGAACAGGATATAAATATGAAAAACTATACAGAATATAAAATAAAAAAACTATACAGAAATCTGAGATATACATTTATACAGAAATGTGAACTGTGCAGGTTATAAACAGTTGTAGATTTAAAAATTATCGTATTGTACAGAATGATTATTTACACAGAACTATACAGTAGTGCAGTTAAGATAAGTGAGATATGTGGATAATTTCTACAGAGGCTATGCAAAGTGCTAGTGGTTGTGAATGGTGGTTCAGTCCATGTTATTATTGTGTGTATGAGGGTACAGTTGTCCATTGTGTGTGTAGGTGGTTGTGGGCATGTGTATTTCCAGTCCATGTGTTACGTGGGTCAGATGTCAGGAGGCAGAGTTCAGGAGTCTGACAGCTGTGGGGAAAAAGCTGTTCCGGTACCTGGTGGTCTTAGTCCGGAGGCTCCTGTAGCGCCTCCCAGAGGGCAGGAGGGTGAAGAGTCCATGTGATGGGTGACTGGGGTCTTTGATGATTTTCCCAGCCCTTTTCAGACACCGCTTCCTGTAGATGTCCTTTATGGCAGGAAGTGGTGCTCTGGCGATGCATTGGGCAGTTTTCACGACCCTCTGCAACACCTTCCGGTCCGGGGCAGAGCAGTTCCCGTACCAGACTGTTATACAGTTGGTCAGGATGCTCTCGATGGTGCAGCGATAGAAGTTCACCAGGATGTCTGAGGACAGGTGGTTCTTCCTCAGAGTCCTCAAGAAGAAGAGGCGCTGGTGAGCCTTCTTGACCAGCTTGGAGCAGTTGGTCGTCCAGATGAGATCCTTGAAGCTGCTCACACGCTCCACAGCCGTCCCCTTAATGTAGATGGGTGGATGTGGGTCAGCATTCCTCCTGTAGTCCACGATGAGCTCCTTGGTCTTCTCAGTGTTAAGCAGCAGGTTGTTTGTGTCGCACCACTCAGCCAGACGAGTGTGTGTTAATTTTCTTTCTGTGCCTGAGAGTGGAACATTCATGCTTGTTTTATTCATGGAGTCTTCACTTTTAATGGAATAGCTGAAGTATTAAAAGGAATATGACAAATTGTGGCCTGATTGACAGTTTCACAAGGTTGCATCAAACTACGTGGCATCAATTTTTTATTAGCTCTACACTTTGAAGCACATCTGGTGCACACTGCAATCCATTGAAAATGCCTCATCCTCTTGCACAAAAAGGTCACCGAAATGTCTGTTTCGACATTTTTTTTTTTTTTAATGTTTTTCAGCGAGATCGACAAAAACATAGATTATATGACCAACCTGAGGAAGGATAAGTGGGTTGTTGAGGGAAAGCTTCGGAAGTAAGTATACGTGATTTCAGCTGTTGTTCAAAGATTCGTGTGCATGCACTTGGACATTTTTTTCCTATGTTGTTGTTGTTTTTTTTTCTTTTTTTGAAAGACTGAGGAGTATCCACACCAAGAAGACGGGGAAGAAAGACAACAGTTGGGCAGGAGAGAACAACCATGCCTTTGTGCTCGCCAGTGTTCAAAACAAATCCAAGAGGAAAGAAGGGGATAGTGAAGAAGAGGAAGATGAGGACGATGACAGTGAAGACCAAAGAGATGACGAGGAGGAGGAGGAAGAAGAAGCAGGTGGAAAAAGAGGAAAGAAAACAGACATATGTGAAGAGGAGGTCAGTGGAAACATAATGCTGTTAACTTGAGCCTCTGACTAAATCTGTGCTGATTATGGCAATAGTCCGCTTTTTTCCCATGTAGGATGACAGTGTACGCTCTGCCAGCATCGAGGAACTTGAGAAACAGATTGAGAAAACATACAAGGTAAATGAAACCCCAATCTCAAGAATGACTCATGAACGTAAAGCGCCCAGGAGTGGTAGAAAAATAATAATAAAAAGATGTGCGCACATCAAGGTAGCATTTAACTACACTGAATGGTTGAAATGCTACTAGGTGAACCCAGGAAATAATTGGTTACAATTTACAGATTAATATTTACTTAACAGTCACATGATGCATTTTATTCTCACATTTTGACTGATTTGTTTGCCAGAAATAAGATGTAATATGAGGATCTATTATAACAAACCAGCATGAAGTGCACAACATCGACCACTGAACTTCAAACATGTTCAGTGATTCAAACTTAACACAGCAATGACTCATAAGCAACATAAGCAAAACTCTGTTAGTAAGATAAGTACTGAGCAACAAAACAATTTTCATAAATTAGCCTTTAGTTTCCTATTAGAACACGGGTCTCCCTGTACACTTGGTTTGCAGTTACAAATTAGAAGAGTCCTGTTGAAATTCACACATGCAATTGGAATTTTGTGTGCTTAGTGTAGTAAAATGTGGCCTTTATAATGTTTTTTTCTCTCTGTTACCACTCCCAGGCTCTGTGTGAGTGGGTTAATAACTTCCTGAACTTTGTGTCTCTCTAGCAACAGAGTCAAATTAGACAGAAACTGTTTGACTCCTCCCACTTACTGCGCTCTGTGATGATTGGCCAGGACAGATACAAGCGGCGCTACTGGGTCCTTCCACAGTGCAGTGGCATTTTTGTTGAAGGCACTGAGAGCAGTGAAGGTGCAAAACAAAACCGATGTCTCCTTTAGTCGTTGTTTGGTGTGTTTAGGATCAAAATGCTTACTGATTTCTTTTTTGTTTTTGACATTATTTTCATTTTATGTTACTTAGGTTGTGAAGTGGAGGAGGAGGAGAGAAGAAGACAGTGGGCTACTGAGGTGATCAGAGTAAAAGGGGAGCAGTTGGAACAGACAAAGCCGGTGGTCTCCAGCTCCACACAGAGCACAGACAATGATACAACCATGCCAGAGAGCCAGCACGACAAAGACAACCTCTTCCTCCAAAAACCTGGCTCTTTATCTAAGCTCAGCAAACTTCTAGAAGTAGGCAAAATGGGTCAAGATTCAGACATCAATACACAGAACAGTCATTCTTTTAAAGTTCCCACCACTGCTTCTTATCCTTCGTATCCTGCCTCACAGATAGTCCCTACTCAGCAGGGTCTGATGGATAAATTGGACACTGCGGTGCCATTTCTGCTCAGTGCTACTCAGCTAAAAAGCATTCACTGGGTGACCCAGAGTCCTCAGTCCAGCCTTCATTATGACCAGCTGTCCAAGACACTGACTGAAAAAAGCAGCCAGTGGTTTAGCCTATTTCCTCGCTCTCCCTGCGACGAGTCTTCAGTGACCTCTGGTTCCAGTCCACCAGTTTCGTCCTCTTCTCCACAACCCATCAGAACCAAATCCCCCTCTTTCCTCTCCACTAATCCCTCAGCTACAGATAGCTACAACACTACTCCTGGGATCAGTAACACAGAATTGCCTATCTTTCAGGTTGGTGGATAACATTAATGCATCTCCATCTCAGATAGAAGGATCAGTTCATGTGTTTTTAGAGCGCTGATAAAAGTGTTGCAAGAATTAGTCCATATTACATCACAATTTTTCCTTTGTTGGACCATGCATGTGGCATTGGAATAAAACTGTAATCTTATCATAATTCTGAGTGTATGCATTTTTATTCTCAGCAAGTAAAGCCTGGCATTCATGAAGGCAGACTGACACAGCATGACATGTCTAGCTCAGTGGCAAGTCCCAGCCTGCCCTTCTCTGGCACACCTCTACCCCCTATGGTGGATCTAGCTTCACAGCATGCAGAGGGTCATGGAAACGAGGCCTCTTTTCTGGAAAATAACTCTATCAACAAGTGCGAGACCTCAGAGTCCCCAAGTGACAAGTCCACTTGTGCCTCATATGCTGCCATAGAGGGGGCCAAAACCCAAGACTACCCTTATCCTCGGCCCATCCCGGAGGGTAAGAACGGCACGCTGCCAGTATGCACAAATCAGATATGCTGGACTGAACATATCTATTGCCCAGACAGCAACAGAATATGCCGTGGCGATTGTCAGTCGAACAAACAAATGTTACTAAAATTGAAAAGCACAGTCACTTCTCCAATTTGTGTGTGTTTCCAGAAATGCTGCATGGCTGGTGGAGTGTGTCTGACATGGAGAACCTGCACAGTCTGGTCAAGACCCTCCATTGCCGGGGCATCAGAGAGAAGGCCTTGCAGAAACAGATCCAAAAACATATGGAGCATATGACCAAGCTCTGTGAGAACAGCAAAGATGGTGGGTTCACATTTCCTTTGAGATTCAGCAGACATTCAGCATTTAATGATTTTTAAAAGTATTGTTATTTGAGTTTATAATGTGATGTGACACATTTGGCTATGGAATTTCTTTTTTAAAAGCGTTCCTTAGAAAGCAGTTTGCTTTAATGTTTTAATACATATTTGGTGGCAGCTATTGGTGTGACAGGGATGGAAAAGCAGGAGGTAAGCAAGGAGGCAGTGGAGAGCTGGTGTGTTGAGGAGAAGGCCATGGAGGTGGACATTCGCCTGCTGCGACAGGTTGAAGCTCTGGAGAGGAAAGTCATCTCCGCCAGCCTGCAGGTCAAGGTAGTGACGAGCCTTTCAGCTGTTTAGAAAACCTCAGTGTTTATTCTAATTATTTTCTCGGAAAGGCCATTGAAATTTTCTTTAATATATATACCTGTGTGATTAAAATAAGGTGTTGTGATGGCCATATTTCCCTGATATCTCTGTCAGGGTTGGATGCACCCTGAGCCCCAGTCTGACAGTAAGGATCTGGTCTATCATGAGCACAAGCCCTTCTCTTCCCTGGCTCAGGAAAACAAAAGAGAGCGAGACGCCAGTCAAGAAGATGTTCCTGGCTCTATGGTGCGGCGGCCCAACAATCCCCTTGACATAGCGGTCACCAGGCTGGCAGAACTTGAGAGGAACATTGAGCGAAGGTACTTTACGAGATCTTAAAATCCCACCTGTCCGACACAGGCCACATTGCCTGTCTTTGTATTAGAAGTAGAAAATAACAATGCAAGATTCAGGACACCAGAAAGAAGAACTTGCAACTTTTTTTTGTACAATTGACTTGGTCTTATTTTCCGTGACCTTTTAAGCAGTGAGGAGGAGGTGGCTCCTGGGATGAGACTGTGGCGCAAATCCCTCGGTCAAGTCCGCAGCTCAGCTCAGCTGTCACTCTGCATTCAGCAGCTGCAGAAATCCATTGCCTGGGAACGAGCCATCATGAAAGTGGTTAGTGTCACCTGATTTCACTGCACGTTTCTCTCTCTGTCTTCATCACAGATTTGTTTACCTTATTTGATCACATATAATAAGAGTCACCATGCAGTCTTATAAGCTGCATAGCTTCTCATTCAGTTTCAAGAAAACTAATTTAAAAATATACAATCCTTCTTAAAAACAGTCAAGGATACCAACGCAGGATGGCACAGATAGCTGGTTAAAGCTCTGGAGAAGGTTTAAATGCAGGAAAGATTTGGTAGCAGTTATATACCTCATTCACAATAAATCACTAATTTTTATAATCTTTTTCAGTATCTCACTAATCTGTTTTAGCTTTAATTAAACCAGTTGGGGTAATCTATTACAATTTTTAAAGAGGGATGCTCATTTGCCTGCACCGTTTGTTGCTGTTGTTTCCAGCACTGCCAGTTCTGTCAAAAAGGAGATAATGAAGAGCTGCTCTTACTCTGTGATGGCTGTGATAGAGGCTGCCACACTTACTGCCATAAACCCAAGATCAATACAGTGCCTGATGGGGACTGGTTTTGTCCAGCTTGTGAGTCAAAGGTACATCAGCGTCCCCTGAGGGATTGATCATAGAGCCAATATTCTTTTTTGTGTGTGTTGTTGTTCTGGGTTTTTTGCTATTCATTTTTCAGCTCTCTGTTCATATCTATCTACCTGTGTGATGTTTAATGTGGCTCCACAGTCCTCTGTGTGTTCTTTCATACAGGAGAGCGGTCAATACCCTTATAGTAGGAAGCAGCAGAGCCGAACAGCTGGAGGAGGGAAGGAATGCGTCGAGGGAAAACGAAGCATTAAGCCATCTGTGGATGGAGAGCTCATCAGTGAGGAGGATGCCAGAAGCAACAATGTGCCAAAGAAAGGTACCAAGGAGGTCAAAAAGAGGAAAGCAGACAACAGCCCACCCAGCTCCCAGGCCAAGTTTGACAGCCCCATCTACTGTGCAAAAAAAACCAAAACGCACAAAGATGAGCTGGGAATATGCCGGTACGCAATTAGATCCTAGAAGCTTGTTAATATAGCTTATGTCATTGTTTAAAATTATTAGGCTCCTGTGACACATTTTTATAATAGAATTCACATTTTAAATCACTAAAGGGTATCAGACCGTTGTAGTGAAAGTGTGTTTAAAAAGTCATATATTTGCAATGCAAAAAGCTCAGCTGTGTCTGCTCTTTGTTCCCTACAGAGTGCTGCTGGCTGAGCTGGAGGCCCATCAGGATGCCTGGCCTTTTCTCACCCCAGTCAACCACAGAGCTGTTCCTGGATACAGAAAAGTCATCAAGAAACCGATGGACTTCTCCACCATCAAGGAGAAGCTAACCAGTAACCAGTATGTGTTGTTGTAGTTTTTAAGATTTTTAGGATGTTTTCATAACATATCTTATTCCTAATTTTACATTTTATGACTCGGACAGTGCTCATGAGTTGAAATTAAACCCATTTCTAATCGTTACAGGTATTTAAACTTGGAGACATTCATCATTGACGTGAACCTGGTTTTCGATAACTGTGAGAGATTTAACGAAGATGACTCTGAAATCGGACGAGCCGGCCACAGGATGAGGAGATTCTTCGACAAGCGATGGACTGAACTTTTGCAGTGAACACATTCCAAAGTGGACATGTCCAACTTTGTCATGGGTGTTGGAGGCCTTCTCTTCACCTCTGACTCCAAGTGACTACACGGTTATAATAAATCAATGTGCAGTTTGAAGGACAGGACTGTGGTCTGTCTGCAAGTGTAGGCAAAACATTTAATGGATTTGTATCTTCAAGTGCAATACTGTTTTGTTTATTGAAACACACTGACTGTTCGGCTCAATGTTGTTTGTGCGAAATACAATATTGAGCAGGGACTTTACTTTTTTATCATCGGTACTAAGTTATATCTCTTTGTGTGCTGTATGTGTATTTATTTTCTCAACTACTTTACATTGCATTCTTTTCAAAGCAGAGGCACGGGACTTACAATGTAACAACTGTTGAATAAATAAGAAAAGCATTACTAACCACACCAACAGTTCCTCTGTCTAAATGCATTCGCGAGTTCACTGAGTAATGCAAAGAGGGATCACTGACACATGAAGTGTTAATTCTTTCACTTAAGTCATAGTTATTACATGTTAAGTGTATTTTTACTCCACAGTCTTGATGAAGATGATATCGTTGCATAAGGATGGTCGTAGCACTTAATCTGAATATCCACTCAAAGCACTCCTCAGAATTGTAGTGCCTGACTCTGAGGAGGATGTTTTTCTTTTTCTATATGCAGTGTGTGTACTGTATGTGTCCTGCACAGTATATCGTAGGAAACATTTGCAGGAGCTCTAATAGGAGCTTTCCTCCTTTTAAATGTGGTGCATAGTGTTTCATCTCCAAGCGTTTCCTTCAAACAGAGCCTTGTCAGACATCCCATGGACTGACGTGACACCTGCATTGGAGCTTTAATCCATCGGGGAGTCAGTGTCACGGACCGCTGGAGGCATCTCAAGACAGCTGAAGTCAGAAGACTTGAAGTAACTGCATTTTATTATGAAAATTGTGTAATGAGTAGTGACTTTTGTAGGAATATTATTTTTGAACACTGGTGTGGATGGATTAAATAAACCCGTTTTTCAAAATAGCAACACTAAGCCCTCACTGCTGCTGCTGTTAATATTTTTCTTAGGTACATTTTTCTTTTATTAATATCTCATATTTTAATTGTTTATTTTCATCAGTTTGCTAAAGCTATAATAAAAAGTCATATGCATGCACTAAATACACACACGTCTGTACCGGCATATTGCCAGCACATTTTTGTCATCTTTGTGGATTTTGGCTTTTTTTGCACAGTAGATGGGGCTGTCAAACGTTGCCTGGGAGCTGGGTAGGCTGTCGTCTCCTTTCCTCTTTTTGACCTCCTTGGTACGTTTGTTTGGCGCGCTGTTGCTGCTGGCATCCTCCTCACTGATGAGCTCTCCTATCACAGATGGCTTAATGCTTCATTTTCCCTCGCTGCTTTCCTTCCCTCCTCCAGCTGTTCAGCTCTGTTGCTTCCTGCTGTGAGGGTATTGACCACTTTCCTGATTGAAAGAACACACAGAAGACTGTGGAGCCACATTGAATATCAGAGGTAGATAGATATGAATTCAGGATTATCATCTTTGACAGAGCAGGAAACAAGAGGTACAGGCAAATAAAGAGTGTTCTTTTCTATATGTACCTGGAACTTTATGTTCAAGTGACTGTGGGGTAATTTATGACCTCAGCTGTATATTTATATTATAAAGAAAGGGAGGGAAAAATATAGTTTTAATTTAATTTTAGATAAGCAAGATTTAGTGCTGTAGAGTCATTGAGCCTAATACCTGATGTCCAAAGTTACAATGAAATGTGTTAATGACAAGATATTTGTTGTAATTTTTGTTACAAATATGAAAGTTTGTCGATATTTTTGGTGTTAAAATGGCTATATATTTCCCCCATTGTTACTAAACCAGCAAAACTTGTTGCATAAGTGACCACATTTTACATAGTTATAAATCTCTGTATCTCTCTCTGTTGTTATCAGTCATCAGTCATGAGGAGGTGGACAATGTTTACAGTGCAGTGATGTCATTTTATATAATGCAGTCTGAAGTCATGACCTTATTACTTGCTTAAAAACACAAAAGAAACCCCCAAAAATCTGTTAAACCTGTAGGTAGTTACATCTGCAGCTGGTTTCTCTGTGTATAGTATGCATAGCTGGATGCTTTCATATCAAGAAAACAAAGGAAAATCTAAGTGTCTTTTGTGAAAATGCTTACACTCAATGTACAGTGTGTAAGAAACAACATGAAAACATCTTAAATGTTACATATTATGTACAAACTCTACCCAAACAGGAGTAGGTGGAAGTTTAACACATATTGAGACCTGCTCCTTTTTCACAAAAAAGAGAAGAAACTCAATATGTTCAGCTTTACTTCCTCTCCATTGATCAAAAAAACAGTAAAGACAAGGCTTCAATTGATCACTGAGAAGGCTATCTATATACCAGCGTGAGTCCAGTGTCTTGGGAGGACTCTCTTTAGAGTCATACTGTTTGGCAAGTGTCACTTGGTAGGAAGAAAATCCTCCCAATGTTTGCAGATTTATGTAGGTGATGTGGTCATTTCCAGAAGGAAACTGTAGGATTTTTTTTCTTTCTCTCCTTTTTCTTTGAGCACCACAATGCGCTATTTCTAGTCTAGGACAAAGAAGACATCTCTACACTCCTTTATGTGGAAACAGAGGACAGGAGATATGTAAACATACATAAATGTGTATATATGCTTAAATATATATTATTTTGAGTCAAAAGTATGGAGTCTTTCCGTCATATAATAGATAAACAGCACTACAGGGCAGAGGAAAAATGCTTACATTATATGTAAATGGATTTAGATGCATCCAAATACTAGTGTTTACATTTTCATTTTATTTTACTATTAGAGGTACTCAAAAAAAGGCTAACTTATCTCACTGCATACATATTATATGCAAATATTATTTATATACATGTATATAAAATCTCAGGTTATAGTCAATTAAATTATACAAAATGAAAACACTTGACTGTAAACATTGTGTAACTCCGTATCACATGACCGATAACAGCGAGATACACAGATTTACAGCCGAGTAGAAAGAGGAAGTGGAGAAGCAGTTGCTGAGCCATAAGGAGCAACAGGTTGTGGTGACAGCTTTGTTACTTTGCTCTCTTTGGGCGAAGCGGGTAGGACAGCAGGGAGAAGACGCGAAATCAGCTGGTTTCGTGCAGGAATATCTGAGTATTTTGCGCCACCTTGTGAGCGAACATCTTCCAAGCCAACAGCACATCTGTCACAAAATGGAGTCTTTAATTTGCACTCTCAGACATCATACAGATGAGGTCACCTGCTGTGCCTTCTCTCCATCCCTCCAGGCGACCTCCTCCGGTGATAAAACGCTCCGTGTTTATACCACGGCCGACTTCTCGGAGCTTCCCTTGTCTCCTCTCAGGGGTCACGGCTACGGGGTCCACTGCTGTTGCTTCAGCTCCTGCGGCAGCTTCCTGCTCAGCTGCTCCACAGACTGCTCTGTCGAAGGCTGTGTCCCAATTCAGGGTCTGCAGCGTTAAAGGCCGCATTTTAAGACCGATTACTCACCGCGACGAAGGCTGTCCCAATTCGAAGGCTGCTCGAAATGCATCCCTCAAATGCGTCCTTAATTTCCCTGAATTTTAAGGACATGGCGGTGTAGACTTCGTGGCCCAACATATCTCAGAATGCATAGCGCAGCGGTGGGTGTGGATAATTTTGCCGAAAAAACAACGGATGAAGGGCGCTGGAAGTACTGAATATCATGTCAATTATTTATGTGCAAATGTTTAATAACGAAGAACATTAAAACATTACTGTATGCCACATGTCAGCAAAGTTATGTGACATAAGTGACGTTTGTACTAACTTGGTTTTACAGCCTTTACTTTAAAATATACGCCGTTCAATAGCTGACCTTAATCTTACAGAGAATGATCAAAGCTCATGTAGAAACAAACAAACGAACAAAAGATTTTCTCCTTCACTTCTGTCAAACAAAGCTGTATGAAACGTTTCCAGCTGTTAGAATCATGGTTGCTAGGCAACCTGG